CGTTGCTTATGTTTACTTGAGTGTCTTATAATCAATTGATATGTGTATTTTACAATTGATCTTATTATCCGTGTGTGTGTGGATACATATTCGATGAATGTCTGCATATGACTGTAGATTTTTATCGGAATATGTATTTGCGACATGTGTACATCTTCGTCAATTGTTCTGCGTCGAAAAGTGCCTCCGCTGGTTATGTATCTCTTCGCGTGTTTTACAACCACATGTGGTATGCGTACTATGGACAATTGATCCCTGATATGATATGCGTTCGAGTATTCTGCTGCCCATTATTTAGCTCGATAACAAACCAATACCCACAGCACCCGCATATATCACTTCTCGAGTCACGAACATAATTATCATAAACAAGGTCTTTGTTCTATAATTAGAATGCCACATGTTACTATCTAATCGTGGGCCGTCACAAATCACCCATCCATCTTCTTTGAGGACAATTCATGGTGTTTCTAATTATACATTTCTGTAGTACAAGGGTGGCCATAATGGCCCTCATTTCGGCACCCAGGTGTATGCACCTGGCAACCAGTCCGGAAGACTCGGTTCATCAGCACATAGACCCTGCCGGCTTAATGAACCCAGTGAACTACTTAGTTTCCCTACTTATTCGGGCAGTACAGTACTTCACCCCTTGAAGTATCATCTACCCAAAGTAACTTAATAAACCATTTAGTTGTGAGAAGTTCTGTATTATCTGCCAAGCAGCTAATACATTTCCTGTTTTTTTATGTTTTTTTTATGATAGAATGCCACAGGATATCATTTGCGACGCGGGCGTTCGACAGAGGAACGGCAGGACAAAGCGTCTAATCATCACATACAAATCACCGCCTCGACAGAGAGTGGCTCTCCTAGTGCAGGTGTGTCGGAAACGTGGACTAGTATGTCTGATAATTGTAGTGATGTGACAGATTTTTACATTGATAAGTGCGATACATAATTGTATGGGATAGTTGGATAATTAAGTTGATGTGGCAGATATTCGTATTGGTGGTTGTGTATCATTTGATCCGTATGTGCATATGCTCGTATAGATTGTATACGTGCTCGTAAATACATGCTTGGATTCGAGTACATTTTCTATCCATCCACTCCACAGCCACGACAGTGACATTTCTAATGCAGGTTTGTAGCATGGATTGTTTTCGTACATACTTGATGGTGTAGTTGTGAGGGTTGAAGCATGTCCGAGTTTTAATTTGAATATCAACGATTTATTTATATGCGCTCGAGCATGAATACTTATTTCAACATTGTATGCTTAAAATGCTGAATTTGTTGTTGTAGCCGCATTAATGTAAGTTCCGTACTTTTAAATAATCAGATCACATTTATATATTTATACATATGTATACCAACTGTATGGACATAGACCCAATCACTGAATCTATGTTTATACCGTGCCAATACAGATGACAATGAGGATGTAGAGAAGGAACCTCTATACGAATACAACGGACGCTTGTATGAAGATGCATGTATCACTTCCACGGTGCTAGCCGAATTGTGGGGTTTCCATGAGGACGATCCGGTACAAGTCCCGGCCAACGCAACACGTATGTTCTTTGTGAACAAGCATATATATATATATATGTGTGTGTGTGTGTGTGTGTGTGTGTGTTTGTGTGTGTGTGTGTTTGTGTGTGTGT